AAAACCTACAACTGTACTTCTGAGTAAACGTAAATAATCATGGGGGACACTGCTGATATACGAGTGCAAACGTATGTAATAATCTCCTTTTTCACAGTGAATCTATGTAAACGTTTCTTTTTTTTTTTATTGACCTACTAATTCATCTGACATTCCCTTCTCTATCAAATATTCTCTAAGTGTTGAACTCACCCATAAACAAGCAAGTTCTTTTCCACCCTGAAGCACTCTGTGCGGCCGTAACTGTTGGGACGGTCGTTTCTTCTGAGCTTAGGCTTGGTCTCATCGCTGTCACTCTCCCCCTCCGACAGCTCTGCCAGCTCATCTTTGGTGGCGCTGAACGGTCTGGTCTGCTTTCTCACACGTGGAGTGTCGATCACCAAGCTGTTCTGCAGCGGGGAAGAGGAGAACACACGTTTTCAAGAAATGTCAGAAATGTCCAAGCTAGACTTCAGCTTTATGAAGAATCTACATCCATCAGAGCGCAGGACTTACTCTGCCGTTGACCATATCCATATCGATGTCAGCTTTTTTGGCCCACTTGTCCCAGAAATTAGGATCATCCAGAGAGATGTCGGTGCGGTTCCCTGATGCCACAAAACTTGCCTGAAGGCAAAAATGAAATTCATTTAAAGAATTAATTCAAACTTCTCAGTCTTTTTGGCTGTATTTGGGGCTGGTAGGAATTTATTATAGAACTGGGAGTGATATTAAAACCAGTTGATTAGAATACACTGATTACTCAGCCTGGAAGCAGACAGGTTTCCCTCATCAGGATAATAATAAGTAATTGAAAGGTCATCTACTCCTAATGTCCTGGTTTTGCACTTTTTGACCATTTATTATTTACATTTATCTTCTAATCCTTTAAATCCTCTTAAATTTTAAACTAATTGTATTAAAAAAACTTTGGTCCCAGTCTTTTGTCTCTATTTTTCAATGAACTGGTCAAAATCCGAATCAGTAAATCAGACTTAAAACTTTTTTTGTCCAGAATAAGCCTGATAGCTGCTTCTTTATCAAAAAATTTTTGTGCGAAATACTTTTCCTCCATTAGTTTTATTAACCTTAGCAAAAGTGGATCCTCGTCCCTCAGACTCGATGGTGATGGTCTTTGTCCTGCGTTGGAGGATCTGATCAATGTCCTCCTCACAGAATTTGGCCCCTTCATCTTCCTCATCCATGATGGCTCCGTAAGCACCACGTCGCAAAAGATCCTCGATTTCTTTCTTGGACAACTGCTGCTGAGCAGCCTAAAGAAAGAATGATCTGTTATTTTTGAGAACTTAACAAATGCAATGTATTTTTAATAGAGGGCACTGGGGCCTAGTGTCACCGGGAGAAGCAAAACACATCCACACATGTTGGTTTGTTATTAAAAAACTCATCATCAGCAGCCTATCTAACCCCAGCTGCTGTTCAGGATGCAAATATGCTCAGCCTGACTAGATGTAGAAAAAAGCCTAATACCTCAACCCCCATGCAGATCAGATAATTCTCAAAGGGACTCAAACTGCAACTCAACATCCACCTACACTCTACACACTGCTGACACACTCCCTCGTGAACAGATTAAACTAATAGGATCAGTTACACTGGGAGAAAATTGCAGCGACGACCTTCATCATTTTGTGGTTTTTCGCCTGACTTTACATTGTAGCCGTTTACCAACTTTTCTAATGCATCTTAGTTAATAATAAATAAAAAAAAACATTCATATTTACGTTTATTAAGACTATATGAGAAGGGAATTATTTATATATATTTTTATCAATTTAATTATCTACTTAAAACAACAGAAAAAGACACACTTTTGAGGTTCAAACTTTTCTGCATTACAAACTCCCCTTCTTTTGTGTGATAATTGCTGAGCTGAGCAGAATAAAGATACGTGACAAAAATGTTTAAAGAAAGAAAATAAATATATTACTTTGTGAATCAAACTAAAGCATCAAGAAATATTTACTACATGAGTTTTTCCACAGTTGATTTTTGGTGCAAAAACAAACTTTAATATAATAGGATTTAAGCTATTGTTTAGTTGAGTTTTTTTATTTATTTTATTTTTTTTTATGAAAATCTAAACAGTCTTGAGTGCAGAGGTATACACGCTTTTTATTCTGCCTGAAAATTAAATCCAGTTTAATTCAGCTTAGAAAACTATATCCAAATTCTAGATCATATATAAGAAGCATTGTCCAAAAATTAGAAAGGAATATTTTGCTCGTCTGCAAACCTACCAACACAAGGCAGCTTAAATGTCAAGTGAGGCATAAATCAGAGAGCTATCTATGAGGCGAAATGTAACCTTGGAGATAAAGTAGGAACCCAAAGCTCAAATGGAAGAAACTTAACAGGAAAACTACCAATTCTGGATTCTAATAATCTGTCCTTAATGAAAGAGTGGCATGAAGGGAACCCACTGCTGAAAGTGAGACCTCAACAGGTTCAAGTTTGACCTAGACACAAAAATATCTATTCAGGGTAAACTCACTAGGTCTATGGATTATACCGAACACATCATCCCCAGAGTGATGCTGCTAGAATGCTTTTATTTAGTCAGGACTGATTGTAAGATAGATACTGTTAAATATCAACACTACAAAAGAAAAAAAAAAAAAAACGGGGAATAAGACTTGAGTCTGGGGAGAAGGTGTAACCTATACAGGATTCAATTTAAAAGAGTAAAGGAACATGAATACCTCTGTGAGGCAATTTAATATTGTATGGTTTAAGCAATTTGCATTTGAGACTATTTGGCTAGTTCTCTGCCTCACCCCTCCTCCTGTGCCTCCTCCAAGGCTGTTATCACGGCCACTCATGCTCTGCAGCACGGCTTTGTCCAGGCCCAGCTTGAGGCTGGCCCGGTCAAACATTTCTCGCTCATACGAGTTCCTGGTGATGAGACGATACACCTTCACCGCCTTGTTCTGACCGATTCGATGACAGCGAGCCTGAGCCTGGAGGGTAAAGAAAAAGTTAAATGTGTTCAAAAGAGAAGACACTAATCTATCATTTGAACTTTAACGTAATTGGCATTAGATCTTAGAGTAAAGACAAAAAAAAAACAGGAATAAAAATTTATCCATAAGCACAATATTTATGATTCCAATACTATGCTGCTTCCATGCCACAAATTAAATATATATATATAATCTACTGAGAATGTAAGCCTTTACCTGCAGGTCGTTCTGAGGGTTCCAGTCAGAGTCAAAGATGATGCAGGTATCTGCTGCAGTCAGGTTGATGCCCAGGCCACCGGCTCTTGTACACAGCAGGAAAACGAAGCGGTCCGAGTCGGGCTTACTGAAGCGATCTATGGCAGCCTGACGCAGGTTTCCACGAACGCGGCCATCAATGCGCTCATACAAGTACCTACAGCCAATGCAAACAAAATCAAACCACAATAAATACGAGTAGGGATTTTTTTTTAAAATATACTTTTGTTTTGACCTTTTTTTTTACAGACTTTGAAAACTCAAAAATATATTTTAATCTCCTTTAAAATGGAGGAACATCCTCAAACAGTGCTTCTTCAAAGAGTGGTTACCGTCCTCATGCCCTCCCACCACCCAGCCTCCTGCCCTCCCCAGTGTAATCCACTTCCACTCCACAGAAACCACACAGACTCTCCAGCTCGTCTGAAGCAGTGGAACCCCGAGGGCTTCTGTAACCTGCTACTGAACTCTGTCCGAGGTCGGATCCGTTCAGCTCCTCATGTGCTTACAACCGTTTCAGGTTTGGTGAAAAGGCTGGCATGGAGCCAGAGCGAAGAGGGAGAGGAAGGAGTGCAACAAGACATGAAAGCAAGGCGAATAAGCTGGAAAAAAATATAAGAAAAACTGATCTGCAGACCAGCAAAGTGGAAAAACTGAGGAGAAGCTGCAATTCTGAGTCACAATAATAAACTTTAAGATGACTTTATAATCTAAAGTCCTCACTTCATTTTAGGTTATAACCAGACCTGAGAGCTTTACCCAAGACATCACGTAAAAGGCGCCCACCCACACAGTAACGGGGAGAGCTCATAGTACTTTGGTTTAAAAGCAGAGCAGTTGTGCCCAAACTAAAAATCTGTCCAAATCAGTGGCATTAAAGTCCATTTATTCTCAATCACTATTTTAAACAGCTCCTGTGTACCTTTTGCAGCTAAAAATACATTTAGTTTGTAGTTTATTTTTAGAACACAAACATCAGTATTCTTTATAAATCCATTCAGTGTGATACAAATATTATTGGTGAATTAAATGTTTGTCAGATTAAACCAACAGGAAGGCAAGAAAAATAATGTATAATGTTTATAGTATAAATTTAAAGTGTGTCCAACTATATTTACATTCTCCTACTGTAACCGTTAGAGAACAAACCAAGAGGTGACGGTCTCTTTACATTGAAAAATCTTATTGCATAACCACAGAAGATCTACATATAGAGAAGATCATGTCTCTAAGGTCTACATATTTGATCCCCCTCACCCCCACTCCCAAAAAAAAAGAAACAATATTTATATTAATATAAATAATGAAAGCAGACCAGTTTCATTTAACGTATTTTACCTTTTCTGAATGAGGTAGTCTTCCAAGATATCCAGACAGCGCACCATCTGGGAGAAGATGAGCACCTTGTGGCCTCCTGCCTTCATCTTGGGCAGCAGCTTATCAATAAGAACCAACTTTCCAGCAGACTGAACCATGGCCTGAAGGTGAAAGTCAGCGGCAGTGGGACTGTGCACTTCCCTGAAATCTTCTAGGATCTTCTCTTCAGCCCCTAAAGCATCAAAGAACAATCTGTCAGCAGATTCTAGCGAGACATTTTTAACACGACTCAACTTCATATCTTCCACAAATTCAACTCAGTTTATTCCTGAAATTAAGACTAAGTGTAGGAACTGTGTAAACTTTTTGGAATGCAAACAGAAAATATAAAAATATAAATAAATTACAAAAAAAAAAATCTATATTGGTCTAAAGCAAAAAAATCAAAAGACAAACAAACAGAGGAGGTATGAAATGCAAACTGCAGCTAAAAAATTGTCTTTCCAAAGTATTGAACCTCTTTTTCACATTTTGTCAAATTCCATTTCATCAGAATTTCTAATATTAGAGAAAAACAAAGTGATGGATCACTGCAAAGTTAAGGGGAAATGTCTTAACTTATTTTTTTTATAAATAAAACTGAGGAATTTGTCACACAACTATTAGTTGGAAGAGCAGACTGTTATCCTGAACACCATCTCCATGCTAAAACATGGTGTTGGCGGCATAATGCTGTGGGGATGCTATTCTTTACTAGTAACAGGTAGGCTGGTCAGAGTTGATGTAAAGACCACTGCACCTGAATGATGGAGAAACCTGGTAAAGGTTGGAAAAGACTGGAGATGGCGACAGAGGTTCACCTTTGAACAGGATGACCACTCAAAACAAAAAGCTAAAGTTATAAAAGAAGGTGTTGATCAAGGCATATTGACGAGGTAGGACCCCATACATACTACTAGCTGTGCAGAGTTCCCTGGTATCTGTAAGCTCCCAAAGTAAAGTGTATACTTCATACATTTCTCATTAAAAAATGCCTCAATTTCCCACACTGCTATAGCGTCGTCTAACATTTGTCATCTAGCTTGACAAAAGTTAAAAAGAAAGAAGCCTAGTTGAGCAACTTGCACTGTTTCTTCTCCCAATGCACAGCTGCTGGTGAGGAGGCTGCAGGTCCTTGTGACTGACTGCTCTGAGCAATGTGTTGCTAACAGCAATCACCTGTTTGTATGACAACTACTTCCTGGTAAGAAGTATTTTCCCATGGAGCCGTGCAGTGAGTCACTAAAATGTTTGTGTGAATCCATCTGCGCAGAATCAGAGCAGATGTGCAGATGCTCATAAAATGATTTAGAATGGCCCAGTCAAAGTCCAGGTGTTAAATCTATTGTAACTCTAAGTATTTAAAACATTAAAGTTCGCAGAAAATTTCCAAAATAACTTTAAGCTCTGGCAGGGTCAAACCAGCTGTGTACGACTTTTCAATCTCCAATCCAACTTTTTCCCTGTCTGTGTATAGAAAGGCTGCGACTGAAGATTTTTTTCACTTTTGTATCTGTGACAGAGAAATTCCCACATTGGACTGGGATGGATTATGAAGAGTTATTAAAAATAAAATAGTAAAAAAAAAAAAATAAAATAAAATGGTTACAGAGCAAAGCCCCACTTAATGAGTCCTGTGCAGAATCCCATCAACTAGAACAGAAAGAGAATTTTTATCAGCCTATATTAGAAATATAATGGGAAGAACGTTTATTTAACTCTGCGGCACACAGTTAATAAAGCTACTGGATGAGGCAGTGAGAGCTAGGGTTGGGAATCGAAAAGATTTTAACGATTCCGATTCCCTTTTCGATTCTATGAAACGATTCGATT